CCTGCCTCCCCCCAAAGGGGGACAGGCCCCCATCCGGCAGGTGCCACGTTCGCCCACCGCCCAAGGCCCCGCTGGACGGAGAGCGTGACCCCGAAACCCAGGGGTGGGCGGCCTGGGGCGGGGTGACGCGGAGAACACGAGGCTGGGCCCCCGCCGACACCCCGGCACCGGGCACCTCCTCCCGCCAGGCCGGGGCCCCGAGCCGGTCCTGGCCCCGCAGCGGGAGCGGCCCCCCGGCTCCGCCAAGCGCCCCCTCGGGGCTGGGGCGCCGGAAGGAAGCAGCGAAAGTTCGGGGCCTCCGGGGCCGGGGCGGGGACCCCGAGGCGCCGCTGGCGGAGCCCGGCCTGGCGGCCCATCGCAGGCCGCTCCCCGCCCCCCGCGCCGCGGCCACGGGGACCCCAGACCGCGGCCCCGGAGGCGGGCCACGTGCTCCCGCGGGGACCGGCCGGGGGGCCAGGCCCGGCCCGAGGATGCTCGGCGCCCCCGCCGCCCCCGCCGCCCCCGCGGCCACGCAGGCGCCCCAACAGGTGGGCCGCGCGCCCCGCACCCGCGCGGATGGGGAGGCGCCGGGGGCGGCGGGGCGCGGGCCGGGGCCTTACCTCCGACCCGGTACATGTTGGCGGCCATGTCCGGCGGCGGCGGGGCCGCGGGCAGCGCGGGCGGCGGGGCCGGGAAAATGGAGGCGCGGGCGGCGGGCGGGGGCGCGGGGCGGGCGGGCGGTTTAAAGGGGCCGCTGCCGCCGCCGCCGCCGCGGAGGCCGCGCAGGGACCGAGGCCGCGGGCGGGAGAGGAAGAGGCGGGGCCGCGCGGGGGAGGGGCATGGTTCCCGCCGCCTCCGGGCTCGGGCCTCCCCCTCCCGGTCCAGGCCGCTCCCCGTGCCCGGTGCCCCCTGTGCCCGCTCCCCCCTGTGCCCGGCGCCCCCCGTGCCCAGGTCCCTCCTGTGCCCAGATCCCCCCTGTGCCCAAGTCCCCCCTGTGCCAGGTCCCCCCTGTGCCCAGATCCCCCCGTGCCCAGGTCCCCCCTGTGCCAGGTCCCCCCTGTGCCCAGATCCCCCCGTGCCCAAGTCCCCCCTGTGCCAGGTCCCCCCTGTGCCCAGATCCCCCCGTGCCCAGGTCCCCCCTGTGCCAGGTCCCCCCTGTGCCCAGATCCCCCCGTGCCCAGGTCCCCCCTGTGCCAGGTCCCCCCTGTGCCCAGGTCCCCCCTGTGCCAGGTCCCCCCTGTGCCCAGATCCCCCCTGTGCCCGGTCCCCCCTGTGCCCGGCGCCCCCCGTGCCCAGATCCCCCCTGTGCCCAGATCCCCCCTGTGCCCAAGTCCCCCCTGTGCCAGGTCCCCCCTGTGCCCAGATCCCCCCGTGCCCAGGTCCCCCCTGTGCCAGGTCCCCCCTGTGCCCAGATCCCCCTGTGCCCAGATCCCCCCTGTGCCCAGATCCCCCCTGTGCCCGGTCCCCCCTGTGCCCAGATCCCCCTGTGCCCAGGTCCCTCCTGAGCCCAGATCCCCCCTGTGCCCGGTCCCCCCTGTGCCCAGATCCCCCTGTGCCCGGTCCCCTCTGTGCCCAGATCCCCCCTGTGCCCAGATCCCCCCGTGCCCAGGTCCCCCCTGTGCCAGGTCCCCCCTGTGCCCAGATCCCCCTGTGCCCAGATCCCCCCTGTGCCCAGATCCCCCCTGTGCCCGGTCCCCCCTGTGCCCAGATCCCCCTGTGCCCAGGTCCCTCCTGAGCCCAGATCCCCCCTGTGCCCGGTCCCCCCTGTGCCCAGATCCCCCTGTGCCCGGTCCCCCCTGTGCCCAGATCCCCCTGTGCCAGGTCCCCCTCGTGCCCAGATCCCCCTGTGCCAGGTCCCCCCTGTGCCCAGATCCCCTTGTGCCCAGATCCCCCCTGTGCCAGGTCCCCCCTGTGCCCAGATCCCCCCTGTGCCCGGTCCCCCCTGTGCCCAGATCCCCCTGTGCCCAGGTCCCCCCTGTGCCCAGGTCCCTCCTGAGCCTAGATCCCCCCTGTGCCAGGTCCCCCCTGTGCCCAGATCCCCCTGTGCCCGGTCCCCCCTGTGCCCAGATCCCCCTGTGCCAGGTCCCCCTCGTGCCCAGATCCCCCTGTGCCAGGTCCCCCCTGTGCCCAGATCCCCTTGTGCCCAGATCCCCCCTGTGCCAGGTCCCCCCTGTGCCCAGATCCCCCCTGTGCCCGGTCCCCCCTGTGCCCAGATCCCCCTGTGCCCAGATCCCCCCTGTGCCCAGGTCCCTCCTGAGCCCAGATCCCCCCTGTGCCAGGTCCCCCCTGTGCCCAGGTCCCTCCTGAGCCCAGATCCCCCCCTGTGCCCGGTCCCCCCTGTGCCCAGATCCCCCTGTGCCCGATCCCCCCTGTGCCCGGGTTCTGAGGCTCCCAGGGGAAAGCTGGAGGCAGAGGGGTGGCGCCCCCTGCACTGCTGGGAGCGAGGGACTGGTGCAGGGTGGGTGGGGTTTGCTCTGAGCAAGACCCCGGGTTCCTGCCCCATTTACTCAGATGGAGGGGGTCTGGGCTGGAGGAGGGACGGGGTCCAGTTGGAGGAACATGGAGTGGGAGCTTGGAGACCCCAGCTGTGTGCAGGGCTGGGAGTGGCGGCCCCTGGCACAGGCCCCTGGAGGCATGGCGAGGAGGGCGGGGCCCAGAGCGCCTGTGAGTAGAAGCCCAGGGTCCCAGGAGGGCCCGCCACAGCCCAGGGGTGCCGAGGGGGCGGGACCAGAGTTGTGATTGATGGGGGATATTGAGGGGTGAGGGGTGGGGGTGAGGGACAGGGGGAATGCTCCCCTCCGGCCCTGGGGGCTCCTCGCAGTGTGGCCTGCGTCGCGGGGAGATGGATGCTGCAGCGCAGGGTCTCCTACCAACACCCAGCATGCGACCAGCCCACAAGTGCCAGCAGCTGTGGGGACGAGCACCCAGCACCCCGTGCCCCCGAGACAGGAGGCTGCGCCGGGCACAGCACCCACCGCCAGGGAGGAAGCCCACAGTCTCCCTCCACCCAGGGAGGTGGCCAAGGCCCACGTTCGCGGCAGGGCCCGGGGTCTGAGGGAAGCCCCCCAAGTTCCAAGTCTCCCCAGGAGAGAGAAGGCGGGGCTCCTGCCGGGTCCACTCCTCCAGGCGATGCCAGGCCTGCCACCTGCTCCTCCGTGTCAGAGCCGGGCAAAGGGTCGGATTCACCGATTAGCCGCAGAGCAGACCCGGTCTGGGCGGAATGACCTATGAAGGCCACCCCTGCAGTTCAACAGACGCGGGAAGAGGCGGGCGTGAGGCTGGGAGACCTCGCAGAGGGCACCCTGGGCATCAGGAGCCCCGAGGTGCTCAACCACCAGCGGAGGAGATGGCGGGGAGAGGGGGTGCGGTGACACAAGCCCCTCCTGGCACAGGGATCTCGGGGCGCTGCCTGCAGGTCAGGAGGTGGAGGGCCCAAGGGTCTGTCCCCTGGTGGGCGAGCAGGCAGGCCCAGGGATGCTGGCTTTGCTGCTGGGGGCTCTGAGGGCCGGGCTGGCCTTCGTTCAGAGGGTGGGCCCGGCGGAGGGTGGAGGCCGAGTCGGCACTGGGGCCGAGGAGAGGCTCGTGGCGCAGACGCCCTGCAAGGCAGATCCAGGGCTCCCAGGAGCCCGAGAGCCTGCGGGCATGACCCACGGAGACCTGCCCATGGGCACCTCCCAGACAGGTACCAGCTGCTGGGCTGGCCAGTCACAGCCCCTTTGGAGCCTGAACAGGAGTCTGGGCAACGCAAAGCTAAGGCCCCTGGGAGCAGGAAGGCCTCCAGAAAACACCTTTAACCCTAGAACCGCCCTCGGCCCCCCCCCCCCCCCCCCCGCCCATGAAGGTCTTTAAAAATACAAAAGCCATTAGCATAACCAATGGGCACAGACAGACACTGGGGCAGTGGGGGCCTGCCCTGGGGTGGGAGTGGCGGGTGGGGGGAATAATTCGGGAAAAGGAGACGTGTGATACTTTGAACAATAAAATATGGTAAAATATATATATATGTTTTTCCTATATAATAAATATATATATATAATAAATATATAATCCTATATAATAAAGAGGTAATATGCAAATTAACCCTCACACCCTCACAAGATGGCTGCCTGTGACCAGGCTGGCAGGGGGGTTAGTGAGGGATGACCAAATGACTGAACAGCAGGCTGCATGAGGCAACCAGGCTGGTGGGGGGGCGGGTGTGCAGTTGGGGGCGACCAGGCTGGCACCAGGGAACAGTTAGAGGTGGCCAGGCAGGCAGGCAGGTCAGCGATTAGGAGCCAGTGGTCCAGGATACCAGTCCCCTAAGGGGTCCCAGACATCCCCCAAGGGGTCCCAGATTGGAGAGGGTGCAGGCTGGGCTGAGGGGACCCGCCCCCCCCCCATGCACCAATTTCGTGCACTGGGCCTCTGGTGTATATATAAAAGCCAAGCTTAAATCCAGCCTCTGAGGCTACAGCCACCACCGACCCTGAGGGGCAGAGCGGGGGGCGGGGGGGGGGGGGTGAGCTGGCACAGGGGCCTCCAGGGCACAGGGACCCGGGGGTTTCAGGCGGGGGCACAGGGGGGCAGGACAGCCAGCTCCTACTGCTCAAACCAAGGGACACCGTCCCGTCTTGGTCTCATGGTTTCTAAACAGTCTTGGAGGATCGTTTCAACTTGGGGTGAAGCAGCACCCACCTCGCCCCACAGCCCTGTCCCCCTCAGGACTAACTGTCATTTGGAAGTGGCGTCTCCACGAGTCCCCGCCCCCACCCCGGCCTTAGAAACGGCCGAGGGACCTTGCCCAGCGCGGCAGCGGCCATCTTGGCGATGAAATCGTGGGCAACATTTTAAAAACTTTTTGCCCGGCTGGCGTGGCTCAGTGGTTGAGCATCGACCTATGAATCAGGTCACAGGTTTGATTCCCGGTCGGGGCACATGCCGGGGATGTGGGCTCCCTCCCCAGTGGGGGGCGTGCAGCAGGCGGCCGATCCATGATTCTCTTCATTGATGCTTCTCTCCCTCCCTCTCCTTTCCTCTGAAAGCAACAAAAAGGTACTTTTTTAAAACACACACACTTGGTTGTAGCTTGTTGAATAGTGAGTGCGCTTGCAACCAAAGCAGTCATTGTTCTGAGGGGGCAGTGGCTGGGCTGGGCCTGGGCCGAGGGGCTCCCCTTCCTGCTTGGGTGTGTCCAGTGGCCTCCGACCCTTCTCCACACAGGCCTGACTCACGGCACAGGCGGTGCCAGAGCACCAGGGGGCCGCCCGGGAGCCTGTCCTCCTGCCCTGGGTGTCGGGGAGCCTGAGCGCATTGCTCCGGGGGGAACAGCAGCGCCGCGGCCGTTTAGAGGGACGAGTGCAGAGCCCAAAGCAGTGTCTGCCGGCAGCGTGACGGGTGGCGTCCTAGCAGGACTGATGCTGTCCGCCCGTCGGCCGGGGAGCCCTGGGGGCACCCAGCAAGGGCACGGTTGGCACCTGGGGTCGGTCCCTCTGGGCTGTGGGTGTCCTGTGCGCTGGGATGTGAGCCCCCGGGTGCCAGGAGCCCTGGGAAGACAGCCCCTCCCCGATGTCCACGCCTTCCCACCGTAACTGCTCGGTCTCACGGCGAGGGGTGAAGGCTGCTCCCCGAAGACCCTAAAACAGTATCCCGGGTGCCAGCAGCCGGACAGTCCCATGGTCCCTAAAAGGAGAGGGGGCAGGAGGGAGAAGTGAGGCGGGAAGGGGGTCAGATGACATGCTGCTGACCTGGGAGATGGCGGAGGGACCCTGAGCCCAGGGATGCAGGCAGTTCCAGAAGCTGGACGGGCCAGGAGTGGATGTCCCCTGGCACCTCTGGGAAGGAAGGCAGCCTGGCCCACACCTGCCCAGCCCACCCAGGGGGCCTGCCTGGACCTGTGGGGAGCCACAGGGAGTGACCAAGGCAGCAGCGCTCTGCGGGGACGGGGAGGACGGGGAGGACGGTAAGGATGGGGACGGTGAGGACGGGGAGGACGGAGAGGACGGTGAGGACGGAGAGGACGGTGAGGACGGGGAGGACAGGGAGGAAGGGGAGGACGGGGAGGACGGGGAGGACAGGGAGGATGGGGAGGAAGAGGAGGACGGGGAGGACAGGGAGGACGGGGAGGACGAGGAGGAAGGGGACGGGGAGGACGGGGAGGACAGGGAGGACGGGGATGGACGGGGAGGTCGGGGACAGGGAGGACGGGGATGGGGACGGGGAGGACGGGGATGGGGAGGACAGAGAGGACGGGGAGGACAGGGAGGAAGGGGAGGAAGGGGAGGATGGGGAGGACGGGGATGGGGAGGACAGGGATGGGGACGGGGAGGACGAGGATGGGGAGGACGGAGAGGACGGGGAGGACAGGGAGGAAGGGGAGGATGGGGAGGACGGGGACAGGGAGGACAGGGATGGGGACGGGGAGGACGAGGATGGGGAGGATGGAGAGGACGGGGAGGACAGGGAGGAAGGGGAGGACGGGGAGGACGGGGAGGACAGGGAGGAAGGGGAGGACGGAGAGGACGGGGAGGACGGAGAGGACGGGGAGGACGGGGAGGAAGGGGAGGACGGAGAGGACGGGGAGGAAGGGGAGGACGGAGAGGACGGGGAGGACAGGGAGGAAGGGGAGGACGGGGAGGACAGGGAGGATGGGAGGACGGAGAGGACGGGGAGGACAGAGAGGACGGGGAGGACAGGGAGGAAGGGGAGGACGGAGAGGACGGGGAGGACAGGGAGGAAGGGGAGGACGGAGAGGACAGGGAGGACAGGGAGGAAGGGGAGGACGGGGAGGACAGGGAGGATGGGAGGACGGAGAGGACGGGGAGGACAGAGAGGACGGGGAGGACAGGGAGGAAGGGGAGGACGGAGAGGACGGGGAGGACGGGGAGGATGGGGAGGAAGAGGAGGACGGGGAGGACAGGGAGGAAGAGGAGGACGGGGGGACAGGGAGGACGGGGAGGACGAGGAGGAAGGGGACGGGGAGGACAGGGATGGGGACGGGGAGGACGGGGAGGATAAGGATGGGGACGGGGAGGATAAGGAAGGGGATGGGGAGGTCGGGGACGGGGAGAACAGGGAGGACGGGGATGGACGGGGAGGTCGGGGACAGGGAGGACGGGGATGGGGACGGGGAGGACAGGGATGGAGGATGGGGAGGACAGGGAGGATGGGGACGGGGATGGAGGACGGAAAGGACGCGGGCTTCCCAGTGGAGGTGGTGCTCCAGGCCTCAACCCTGAACCCCAGGTCTTTGCCACAGCAGTGGGGGTGCCAGGGCCACCTGACACCCAGCTCCCGGGGGAGACCTCATGCAGAGGCCCGAGACCACGCGGAGGGCGGAGGGCAGAGGGCGGAGGCAGGTGGCCCTCCCAGCCTCATGAGACCATGGAGAGGGCAGTGTGAGCCAGTGGACCCCGGGGCCTCGTGTGACACCTGTGGAGCCTTAGAGCCACTCGGCCCCGGACTGTCACCCGCTCAGACCTGCTGATGGGGATGCGGGCACAGGGCCATCGTCCCGCCCGCCCCGCCCGGCCCTCCTCACCCACCCCCTTATCATCGGGGTCTCTGAGCGGGAGGCCATCATGTCCTCCAAAGCCCTGCCCAGCCCTCTCCCCCATCAGAACCCCCCCGTCCCTGTGGCCTCCCCCCACCAGACCCCCCCTCCCCCCGTCCCTGTGGCCTCCCCCCATCAGAACCCGCCCCCCCCCCCGTCCCTGTGGCCTCCCCCCAGGGTCTGAGGAATGCCGTCCTGGAACATATTTAATTATTTAATTTCAGGGGAACCAGAGAGAACCAGCGAGCCCAGCAGTAGGCAGGGCACGTAGGTGGGGCGGGGGGGGGCGGTGCAGGGCTGGCCCGGGCCCCTGGGGTGTGGAGGGCCCCCTGAAAGGCCTGGTGGGCTCAGGAGGGCGGGCACCCAGAGGCCCAGGCTGAGGTCATGTTGTGCCAGAAAGGCGAGCTGCGGGTCAGGAAGGCGTGGAAGGCGTGGGTAGACTCGGTCGACCGGGGCGGGTGGAAGATGAGCACATCCCTGTCCACGTCCTCAGACACCAGTCGCGCCACGATTTGCAGGATGTCCTGTGGGGGCGTGGGGGCGCAGGGTCGGGGCACAGGGTCAGGGGCGCGGGGTCAGGGGCTGTGGGGTCAGGGGCGCGGGGTCAGGGGCCTGGGGTCAAGGGCTGTGGCTGTCAGGGGCGTGGGGTCAGGGGCGCGGGGTCAAGGGCTGTGGGGTCGGGGGCGCGGGGTCAGGGGAGTGGGGTCGGGGGCACAGGGTCAGGGGCGTGGGGTCAGGGGCGTGGGGGTGGGGGCACAGGGTCAGGGGCGCGGGGTCAGGGGCGGGGTCAGGGGCGTGGGGTCAAGGGCGCGGGGTCAGGGGCAGGGTGAGGCTGGGCAGGGGCGTCCGTGCCCCCCCCCTGCGCACCTGGCCGTGGGAGCCGGGGCGGCCCTGCCTGGTGTCCTGCAGGGCCCGCTGCCTGCGCTCCTCGATGCTGAGGCTCCAGTGGCGGGAGGGGCGCTTGCTCTCCAGGGGTTCGCTCACCTGAGGGGACAGAGGTCCCTGGACCCGCAGAACCCCCGCGCCCCTGCGGGGGATGCCGAGCCCCTGGGGCCCGGCCCGGCTCCCACCACCCAGGCCAGGACGCCCGCCGCCCGCTGGGCTGTGTGCAGGACCCAGGCGGGAAGCCCGAGGGGGGCCAGGCCTGGGGGCTGGTGCGGAGGCGGCACTGAGCCCCCACCTGGGGCCTGAGAACAGCAGCCCCAATGCTGTGGCCTCAGGGAAGGCGGGCCCAGCCCTGGCCGGGGTGGCTCAGTGGATAGAGCACCCGACTGTGGACCGAAGGGTCCCGGGTTCGATTCCGGTCAAGGGCACAGGCCTGGGTTGAGGGCTCCATCCCCAGTGGGGGGCGTGCAGGAGGCAGCCGATCCATGATTCTCTCTCATCATGGATGTTTCTCTCTCTCCTCCCCTCCCTTCTCTGAAATCAATAAAAGTATAAAAACAAAGAAATGTAACAGAAATGGACCTGCACTGGATTCGCTACTGGGGGATCTGGCAGGTTTCAGACATCAGCCCCCCGGGCAGGGCCTGCTGCGGTCACCCCAGAGCCGTCCGTGGCGGCCGCGGGGAGCCTGCAGCGCGGCCCATGAACGGATCCTTCCTCCCGCGGCCCGCCTGCCGGTCGCTCTCACTGGATTTAAACGGTGACGCTCGCATGGTGGTCGTGCACCGTCCTCCTCTTACGAGTGGGTTTGTCTGGGGAGACAACATACCAGCGGCGAACGGCGGCCCCTGCGTCTTTCTCTCCGTGCTTAGAGCTCACTTCGCTCCCTGGTTGGTGCACAGGCCCTGCCATCGTCACGGAGACGCTCCACTTCCCTGCCTGGCCCGAGTCAGAGGAAGGCGCCAGTGAGGCCCACTCAGAACCGCCCGTCCCGTCCCCCCCCCCCCCCCCCCCCCCCGTTCAGCTTCAACGGGGGATGGGGGACTGGGGGAGGTGAGGAATAGGTGGAGGGGCAGAGGAGGGAAACATTATGTCAACAATAAAAAAATTAATTAATTTTTAAAAAGACAACAGGTGTTCAGTTTTGTTTTTAAGGAAATAAACTGGAATTTACTAGCATTCTTCTTCATCACCCATTGAGGCAAATTGTGTGGTCTTCCTCCTTTTGTCCATCGGAGCATTTTTTTTTTCTTTTCTTATATTTTTGGCAAAATTCAAACTCTCCATCCCATTGGAGCATTTTACAAATTTCCAAATTCCTTCCTCCTCGGGACACATATGCACCTTCATTTGCTCAGTAGATTCTCTGAGCGCATCTGTGCTGCCCCCTCCCCGGCCCTGACAGAGCCCTGGTTCCCTGGTTCTGGGGAGCCACGCGGGATTGGAGCACACCGTCTCTGGGTGCGGCTGATGGACTTCCGCAGGGCGTTCTGTGCCAGCGTGAGCTGGGCCCATGGTTGCCCTCCTTCACCTTTGCCCTCTCCTCCTCACGGGCCAGTGGCTGGGCAGCTCAGACCGCATGGGCGGGGATGACTGCTTTCCTAACTGCCTGGGGTGCCTGCCCACACATCACTGAGGGGGGCTCTGTGGCTGCTGTGGAATGTCCTTGGTGCCCTGGCAGGAGGCTCAGTGGGTCAGAGCATCATCCCAATGCGCACAGGTTGCGGGTTCGATCTCTGGTCAGGGCACATACAGGCAGCAACCAAAGATGCATGAACAGGGAGCCACACACGAAGTCCCTCCCCCCCCGCCCCTCTCTCACCCTTGGGTGAGGATTAACAAAACAAACAAACAAAAAGCCCAGCCCAGCTCCCCTCCGCCCGGCTCCCACGTCTGCTCTCACCTGAGTGCACACCTCTAGAGGCCACGTGCCTGTCCTGTGTCTGGCTCACTTCGCTCAGCTAACGTCCCCACGGCCCATCCGAGTGGGAGCCAGGCAGGGCGTTGTCCGTGGGGCGGATGGCACGCGCACAGGTGGACACTGGTGGCCGGCACCTTTGGGATGTGTGAAGGGGCTGCCGTGGACACGGGTTTGCCAACGTCTGCCGCGTCTCTGCTTCCTGGCCTTCCACGTCTCCACATCATCACCCACTCGCTCGCCCGTCTGGTGAGTGCCGGCAGCCCTCCTAGCAGCTGCGGGGCGTCCCTGGGGTCTGACTTGCACGGCCCTACGACTGACGGTGTGGACACCTCCTCGCACACCTGACCGTTGTATGTCTTTCGAGAAATGTCTCTTCAGGTCCTTTGCCTGTTTTGGCCTCAGATTACTGCTTACTGTCGTTGCGTTTGAGGAATCCTCCGTGCATTCTGGATCCCAGGCCCTTAGCAGATGTGTGACTCGCAAACAGGTCCTCCCTCCCAGGAGCTGACTGCACTCGGTGACCGTGTCCTGTGGTGGTCGTAAGTTTTTCGTTTTGGTGCAGTCCATCCAACGCATCTGTTTTTCCTTTTGCTGCCTGTGTGGTTGGTGCCACGTCCGAGAAGCCACTGCCGACCCCAAGGGCACGACGCTTCTCCCAGGACCGTCCGCCCTGAGCTCGTCCACTTCTGTCTTCCTTGCGCTTGGAGTTCCTTTCCGCCCGACGTCACCCATCCTGTGCTGGAGGGCGTCCAGGGCTCCTGGCACCACCGGCTGTGAAGTCTGGCCTTTCCCCGACAGGAGCTGTGGCTGCCGGCAGATCTGCTGCTCTTTAGCCGCCAACGTGTCCCTTTTCTTTCGTGGTTTCTGGTCCCTGAGGCTCGGCTGGGAGGGCCGCCCCCACGGCAGGGTTTCTTCTCGTCCTTGTAGGGCGTCACATCTCACTGAGGCTGCCCTGGTTCCCAGTGAGAGGCGGGCTACCACGCGCCCAACGCCGCTTAGGGACGTCTCCTGCCCCACCCACACTGCGCCTCTGTCGGTATTTTGGTCAATGTCTTGATTTTCTTTTCTTTTTTTTAAGGAGTGATTTAAAAAAATTCTTTATTGTTGAAAATGTTACATATGTCTCCTTCCCCCCCACCCCGCCCTCACCCCCCGGCTGTCTGTGTCCATTGGTTATGCTTACATGCATGCCTAGAAGTCCTTCGGTTGATCTCTTAAACCTCCCCTCCCCCTGCCTTCCCTCTGAGGTTGGACGGTCTGTTCGATGCTGCTCTGCCTCTGTATCTATTTGTGTTCATCAGTTTACGTTGTTCATTATATTCCACAAATGAGTGAGCTCACGTGATACTTGTCTTTCTCCGACTGGCTTATTTTGCTTAGCATAATGCTCCCCAGGGCCATCCGTGCTGCTGCAAATGGTAAGAGTTCCTTCTCTTTTACGGCAGCGTAGTATCCCATTGTATAGACGTACCACGGTTTTCTAATCCACTCATCTGCTAAGTGGGGCACTTAGGCTGTTTCCAAATCTTAGCTCTTGTACATTGTGCTGCTATGAACAGAGGGGTGCATATGTCCTTTCTGATTGGTGTTTCTGATTTCTTGGGATATAGTCCTAGAAGTGGGATTACTGGGTCCAATGGGAGTTCCATTTTTAATTTCTTGAGGAAACTCCACACTGTCTTCCACAGTGGTTGCACCAGTCTGCATTCCCACCAGCAGTGCAAGAGGGTTCCTTTTTCTCCCCATCCTCGCCAGCACTTGTGTTTGTTGATTTGTTGATGGTAGCCATTCTGACAGGTGTGAGGTATAGGAGTGATTTTTTTAAAATATATTTTTTTATTGATTTCAGAGAGGAAGGGAGAGGAAGAGAGAGATAGAAACATCAATGAGGAGAGAGAATCATTGATCAGCTGCCTCCTGCTCATCCCCTACTGGGGATTGAGCCTGCAACCTGGGCACGTGCCCTTGACCAGAATCAACCTGAAACCGTTCAGTCCACAGGCCGGTGCTCTATCCACTGAGCCCACCGGCCAGGCCATGTCTCCATTTCCTGTTCCGTCCTGCTGCTCATGCATCAGATGCCAGGGCCCCTGCTTTCAAAACGGAGCTCTGAGCTCTGACTGCCTCTCCGCTAGGGCTGAACCTATTCTCATTTTCCCATTGGAGCACTTTGCCGTATTGGAAAAGAAAAGTTTTAGCATTTTCACCACTAATGGCACTGAAATGGCGGGCCTGGGAGAACCCTCCGTGCCGGGTCCACTAATGACACTGAAATGGCGGGCCTGGGAGAACCCTCCGTGCCGGGTCCACTAATGACACTGAAATGGCGGGCCTGGGAGAACCCTCCGTGCCGGGTCCACTAATGACACTGAAATGGCGGGCATGGGAGAACCCTCCGTGCCGGGTCCACTAATGACACTGAAATGGCGGGCCTGGGAGAACCCTCCGTGCCAGGTCCGCCTGCTGGGAAACCACGTCTCTTCCTGCCCCGTCCTGGGCCGTGCTGTGGGGGGTTCACAGCTCGCTCGATGGCAGCCTGCTTCCTGTGAAGGTGGCCCGCTGTCCGGCGGCCTTTCCCGGGCATGTTCTCCGAGAGCCTGCTGCTCAGGCCCGTCAAGGCTGCTGATTCCCGGGTCGCCACCCGCTTCCGGCCTGGTCTGTGGACGGACGCCCCTGCTCTGACCAGCAGCCGCAGGTCCCCCAGGGTGCTGTGCGGCCACCGCCCCCGGGCTCACAATCCTCCCCCAGCTCCCGGCCAGCTGCATGGGCCCACTGCTCCCCAGGGCGAGGCTGACAGGGGTGGCGACACCTGCAGCAGGCCCTGCCCGCCTGGCACAGCCATGGTTCTGATTCGTCCTTCCTAGGGGTTTAGTCCCCTCGCATAGAAGCTTCCTCCCGGTGCCGGCTGAGTCCCACTCAGAGGGACCGGATCAGCAGGGCAGGGGGCGGGGCCCGTTTCTGCTGAGTGCCACCCGCCCGCTCTGCCCAGCCTGTGCCCCCACCAGAACGCGGCCTGTTCTGTCCTGGGGGTCCTCGCCTCCTCAGAGCCCTCTGGCCCGGTCAGCTGGCCCCACCGCCGCGGGAGCCTGAGGCCTGCAGACCCCGCGGAGGCCTCCGCCGGAGGGTGCTGCCGTCCGTGAGCACATGTCCCCACCCTGGGGCCCTGGGCGCCCACGTGAACCTTGCAGGTCAGGCGGCTCCCTTGGGACCTGGGCTGGAAAGGGACAGGACAAAGGGAAGGATGGGGATGACTTATACTCGTCAGGCTCGGGCTCCCTGGAGGGGATGCCTGACCAGGGGCCAGCGCGGGAAGATCTGGAGGAACGGCAGGCGAGGGGCCAGGAGGAAGGCCACCAGGCAGGACAGGCAGGGAGCGTGGACGTCCCTCAAGGGCTGGAAGCAGTGGGAGGAGGAGGCCAGGCGACAGGGGAGGGATGAGCAGCATGCGGGAGACACTGCGGGGACTCCCGACCCCAAGCCACGCTCTGGGAGCCTGCAAACAGGGGTCTGCACCCCTTCGGGGTCTGTCCGACCCCTCTCCTCGGAGCCACCCCCCCTGGGCCTTTCTATCCTGCTCTCCCGGCCTCAGCCCCCCTGCCACTCCCACAGCCCCGCCTTCCTCTTGGATCTGCAGACACGGCGTGGGGAGGGGTCACCCTGACCAAGAGCTGCCAGGCTCCCCCTGGGCTCCGCGGAAGCCCCGTCCGCCCACGGGTGGCACGCTGTGCACTTCCATCTGGCTTGCCAGGCCTGGGAAGTCGGCCGAGGGCCCCCCCCACCCCCGTAGGTGGAGGACCTGGCTAGGAGGGCACGCGGCGGCCTCAGCGGGCAGCTGGGGAGCCCGCTCTCTCTTTTCCCAGTGACTGTTAATTTTCTGTTTTGGGTGGGGTTTCTGTATCCTCATTTCCCATTGGTTGTTAGAGTGGAAGGGAGGGGGAAAGAGAGAGACACATCCAGCGGTTGCCTCCTGCAGGCACCCCAACCAGAGCTGGGGATGGAACCTGACACTCAGGTACATGCCCTTGACCGGAATCAAACCCGGGAACCCTCCAGTCCGCACGCCCGCACCCTGTCCACTGAACCACACTGGCCAGGCCGCCTGCCGCCTCTTTACACGCCGGGCGGCCTGGACCTCACGGGCATCTGAGCTGACCTGTCTGCGGACTCAGCTCTTGGGGTGCCCACTTGGACCCACAGGCACCTGTGCACCTGGCTCGTCCAGGCTTCGACCCTGACACGGGGCCACACAGAATTCCGGGGTGGCAGCTGCCGTGTGGGAACCAGCGGCTGTGGGGGGCACACAGGCGGCTCCAGGGTGAGGGCGCTGTGAGGACTGGAGCAGGCCCTCCCTGGTCTCAGATGCCCCCTCCCAGGTGCCCGGTGGAGGCAGGCGGGCGGCCTGCAGCTCTGGGGGCTGTGGGAGGAGGCCAGTCCTGTGCCCAGCCCCACCCCTGTGCTGGGCCGTTCAGCCGTGCCCACCCTTGCACACCGATCCGCCACCCCGGCCAGCCCTCGCCGTGTGTGTGTGTGTGTGTGTGTGTGTGTGTGTGTGTGTGTGTCTCGGGGGGGCGGTGGGGGAGGGTGGGGGGGTGGGGGAGGGTGGGGGGGGGCAGGCCCTGGCTTACCCAGTCCTGAGTCTCCAGCATCTGCTGGCGGCCGCTCTGTGCGCTGGGCTGGCTCTGGGCGTCAGGCCGACTGGGCAGGCGCTCAGGGGGCAGCGGGGGTCCCGGCTTCTGGGGGGCGCCCCCCAGCAGATGCTTCCCGCTCATGCTCAGGCTCATGCTCATGCTCGCTGGCAGCCGGCGGCAGGTCCCCGGGGCTCCCCGCAGGCGGAGGTCAGGCTCCGGGGCTCCCCCCAGACGGAGGTCAGGACGGGGCTCCCCGCCCCCCGCAGACGGAGGTCAGGCTCCGGGGCTCCCCGCCCCCCGCAGACGGAGGTCAGGCTCCGGGGCTCCCCACAGACAGAGGTCAGGCGCCGGGGCTCCCCGCCCCCCGCAGACGGAGGTCAGGCTCCGGGGCTCCCCGCCCCCCGCAGACGGAGGTCAGGCTCCGGGGCTCCCCACAGACAGAGGTCAGGCTCCGGGGCTCCCCGCCCCCCGCAGACGGAGGTCAGGCTGCGGGGCTCACTGTCCCCCGCAGACGGAGGTCAGGCTCCCAGGCTCCGGGGCTCCCTGTCCCCGTGGCCCGGCCTCAGGCGCTGACACTCCACAGCGGACCCACGGGTCCCGGGGCCTCAGCTCCGGCCGCCACCTGCTCCTCATCGGTCCCCAGGCAGAGCCCCACTGCCCCCCGCAGGCTCCCCGGGACCCCCACCTCTGCTCAGGCTCCGGCCCCTTGGGTGGGACTGAGGGTCCCGCCCGCCTCAGCCCCTGTGACCTCACCTCCACGTGGCAGAACCGCACCCCGGCCCAGAGGGATCCGAGGGGGGAGGGGGCAGGACACCCAGGGAGACTGGGAGGGGGCCTGGGGGTGCGCTGGTCAGGGGAGAGCAGATGGGGTTACAGCGGTCAGCAGGAGGGGGTACACTGGGGGGCCAAGGTGGGGCAGGGGCGGGGCACACTGAGGTACAGTGGTGGGGAGGGCGGGTCATACTGGGGTACAGAGATGGGCAGGGGCGGGGTACACTCGGGTATGGAGGTGGGGGAGGGGCGGGGCGCACTGGGGTACGGGGTGGGGGAGGGGTGACACTGGGGTACGGGGTGGGGGAGGGGTGACACTGGGGTACGAGTGGGGGAGGGGTGACACTGGGGTACGGGTGGGGGAGGGGTGACACTGGGGTACGGGGTGGGGGAAGGGGAAGGGCGGGGCGCACGGTGCTGGGAGGTCGAAGGGCAGAGGCGGGGCCCACGGAATTCGGAAGCCTGAGAGGAGGAGCGGAGCGACTTCCGCTTCAGGTCCCGCCCCGCCGTTTCCGCTTCCGGCCCGTGCGCGCCTGCGCCCTGGAGCCCGCCCTCCCCGCGGCCCTGGCGGCGGGGGGCGGCGGGGGGCGGCGGGGTCTGGGGCTCCGGCTGTTCGTGCCGCCTCCGCACCCGCGAGCGGACGATTCTGTCCCCAAAAGGCCCTGAAGGAGCCCCGTGTCCCTTAAACAGCAGCAGCGACGCCCCCCCGCCCCCCGGCCGCGTCGCCCTCCCGCCCCCCGAGGCCGAGAAGCGGGTGGTCAGCAGCCGGCCCTTCAGGGCGGGTGGCGGTCTGGCCACGAGCCCGTCCGTCCGTCCGGGGCCCGGCCCCAGCGGGAGTCTGGTCCGCGCCGGGGTGACCGCGCAGCGAGGCCGGCCCGGGCCCGGCGCCCCGGCCTCCGGGAGCCCCCCTCGCCCAGCGGCCTCCCCGGGCTTGACCCCGGGCCGAGGGGCCGCAGGAGGGGGCGGTGGGGCTGGAAACCGCCGCTCCTCACCCCCTGCCCGCCCCGCGCTCCCATGGCCGGGCCTCGCTCCCTCCCGGGGGCGGGCTGTGCGCACACTGTCCTCGGCGGATCGTGGGGACCAGGGGTCCGCACCCCCTCCGGGCCCAGCGACGGCGGGCGGGCTCTGCAGGCCCCCCCCCAGGGTACCGGACACAGCTGTTGGGGGGCAAGGGGCGGGGGAGGATGCTCCGGGGTGGACGGGACGGCCGCTTGGCCACTTCCACCAAAGCCAGCCGAGGCCAGAAGCCGAGGGCGGCCACCTGCACCGGCTTCCTCCCCGCCGGGCAGCGACCAGGCCCCGGCACCAGCGGTGGGGGTGGGGGGCGCAGGGCCGCTGGGGTGGAGCCCGGGCAGGGGCTGCCCTGGGCTGTGGGCCCCGCGGCCGGCACCCTCACCCGGTTCTGCCCGGTCCGCCTCAGGCCCTGGTCCCTGCACCGTCCGGAGGTGTGTGGGGCGGAGGCGCTCTCTGGGGCCTCGGCCCAGCATTCTGCCACCGGCTCCCAGGCCTGGCTCCCCCACGGCCATGCCTGTGTCCTGTCTGCCCGCAGCCCCAAAGCCCTCGGCTGGACTCAGATCCTGAGCGGCCTCCGGGGAGAAGGGAGGGAGGCAGCGGTGAGAACGCTGGCCATCTCCCGCCCCAGGAGGGACCCCTGCTGGTGAGGCCCTGCATTTGGCACTGGCTGGGCACAGCTGCATGGCTCTCCGCCTCAGGAAACCGGCCCACAGCCTCCGGGGGGGGGGGGGGGGGGCTGCCAGGGCCGGGAGGGTGCTGGCGGCGTGGGAAGGTGTAGGTGGGCTGCCAACTAGGACAGGACCCAAACCCTAACTCTGAGGTGCTCCACGCAGGGGGTCCCCTGGCTGTCCCCACAGCTCCCACGGTGCCCAGCCACCCCGCCCGCGCTTCCACAGGCCACCCCAGGGCCGCTGTACCCCCACCCCGCCCCCCAGCCAGCAGGTGGGGCTGGGGGTGGAGGGAGGAGAAAACCACCGCGTGCCCAGTCTGGGGCAGGGACAACTCCCGGACGGGTGTCTCAGGAGCCACCCAGGGAGCGAGGGAGCGGGTCGCGGAGGCGGGGGTGGCTGGGCAGGGCAGGGGCTGCTGGTGGTGCCCAGCCCTGGCCCCGGGACGTGAGAAGAGCGATGGACTTGTTTGGCAGCCACATTGTAACATGTATTTAAAAGCATTAAAAACAGCTGCTGCTGTGAGACCCCCGCTGCCCGTGGGGCTGGCGTTTGTTGGGACCACGAGTGGGTGGTGCGGGCCCAGGGCTGGCGGGCTGCCCCTGGGTTCTGCTCAGGATGCCGCCAGTGGGGGCCAGCCCTTGGCCTCTGGCCGCTCAGCTCTGAGTCCTGGGCGCAGGCTGAGCCGGCTCCACGGGAAGCAGAGTCCTGGCTTCCAGGAAGGGCAGATGGAGAAGGGAGAACCCTTCTCGCTGGGAGTGTTAGGGATCCTGAGGCCAAAACTCACTTTCCATGATTCTCCTGCTCAGCACTGCCCGCCTGACCTCCCGCCCGCCAGGGCGTCTGGTTAATAAGCAGAGCAGTTGGGGGCTCCCAGTGGGGGCCACCCCGTTAGTTTCCAGGTTGTAGCACAATCGCACTTAAGACGGTTTGGGCTGTGTTTCCAGGGTCTGTCTCTGTCGTAAACTGAAATGTTAACAGAATAGCAGCTGGGCCTCCCGGGCTCGGCCACGCAGGGCGAGGGCAGGGCTAGAAGGTGGACTTGGAGTGTCCGAAGATGCAGATGGGGAAGTGCTTGACGTGGGAGGACCACTGGGCCGCCAGCTGGAAGAACTTCACGTCGTTCCACTCCACGCCGTCAATGAGGACTGCGGGGACAAGACCGCCTGACCCGCCTGCCATGGGCCAGCAGCGCGCCCACCCCTCCAGCCGGGGCCTGACCCCCGCCAGAGACCCCCCAGGCTCTCGGGGGACGAGGACCTGCTGGCCAGGCCTTTCTGCCGCCTGCCCTCTGAGCCACCCGTGGCCACCTCTCCCTGGCACAGGGCCGCTGGTCCTCACACCTGCCGCCCCAGCAGGGTCTGCAGATGGGTGGGAGGCATCCTCCGGTGGAACCAATCAGGGCAGAAGGCAGCGTTCTCAACCCCCAGGGCCACCAGCACGAGCCGAGCCCACGAACGGGGGCCCCCCCGAGCGCCCTCTGTCCCAGGCAGAGCACCCAGGGCTCCACTCCCGCCTCTTCGGAGGAGCGGAGGGTCGCGGAGCCACTGCTCAGAACTGGAAAAGCCGTCGCACACGCAGGGCCTCAAACGAGACCAAAGCCCGGCTCGGGCAACAGGCGTTTCACAGCAAAGCGAGGGCACCGCGGAGGGGGACGTGGAAAGCTGCCAGCTCTGCGGGCTGCCTTCCCGTTCCAGACAGAACCGGGGCCCTGGGTCAAGGGCCGGGCGGGCCGGGAGGACAGGAGGCCGCGCTCACCCCGCAGCATGTTCTGCTGGTGCTTGGCTGTGCAGATGAGCCGGCTGATGCCCTCGATGCACTGGCTTTTGGACTCCACGTCCTTGTCCTTGGTCTTCTTGGGCAGAAACATCACTAGGAGGAGAAGGGGCCGTGCTGACCTGCTGCTTCCTCGGGGCCTGGGGAAGCCGGGGACCCCGCCGCCCCGGGCACGTGGAAGGGCCGATGGCGCCCCCCCCACGGCAGCCGCCGCTCACCCTTCTTGTTCTTCTCCTTGGTGACCACGGTCATGGACATGGTGGGCGTGGCCGTGGCCTCGCCACTGCTGGGCAGCCTGCTGACCTGGAGAGACCGGAAGGTGCACTTGAGCGTGTTTTTGGCGGAAGGCACGTCTTTCTTCTCCGCATCTCTCTTCCTGTCTGTGGGCTGGGCTGCCGTCCAGTAATCCACCTGCAGCCCCATCAGCTCGGCGCCGACGCCCTGGCTGGGGAAGCAGAGGGAGGCTCACCGTCCGGCCGCCGTGGGACAGCGCACCCGTGGCTGCTGCCGGCGGGAGGTGCCTCGTCACAGCTGTAGCCCCATGGAGCCGGGGCAGCCGTGACCTCAGGGCCCATGCGGCGAGAGGCCCCCAGGGCCCGCACAAGTGTTGCCAGTGTGAGTTCTGCTCACAAGACCCGAGGGGCTGCTGACCTCCCCCTCACCTCCCGTGAGGTGGTCCCCAGAACCCCGCCTGTGGACAGGGCATCCTGTGTTCTCACTTTGCGTGGTCCTGTCCCCGATGAAGCTGTCTGTCTCCTGAGCGAGCCCAGGACCTGCGCCCACCCCTACGACCCGGCATCCTTGTCCACGCCCCCCCCAGACCCTCAGTTCCCGCACCGGGGCAGCCAGCGCTCTCTGATCCGAGCTGCGCGGTGTCAGGCGTGAGGGGAGTGGACAGGAGCCAGGCGGACAGCACGTCCAGGGGCGGGTGGGGTGGCCGCCTTTACCTGGGGGAGGACAGGCCCCCACTCACTGACGGGGAGGAAGGGGGGGTGGGCGAGGCCTCCTTGGCAGCGGGAGATGTGGACGGCGGGGTAGACGAAAGCACGCTGGAGCCTGTGGGGGCCGCGTCATCCGAGTCTCCTTTGGGGAGGAGTTAGGGGACAGTGCTGAGCCCGGAGCAGCCTGGGGCTGTGCCAGGCCGCGGCAGGGAGGTGGGGCGGCCCTGTGGATGGGGTGTGCGTGGGAGGCGGGACGGGGCCTGGGAGCTACCAGGCCTCCCTGGCATGTCGGGTGGAGGGGGCCACCCAAGGTGCGCGAAGCCGTACAGGGACCACGAGGGGGACCTCCCTCCCCGAGGCGGCTGTGCCCTCAGGCCTCAGAGAGGCTGGTGGGGGGGGGTACCTGACGTGGCCGAGGATGGTTCCACGATTCCCACCTTCACCACCTGGAAATCAACAGGCACGCTGGCAGCAGGGGGGGTGCGGGGCTCCCCAGCCCGGCTCCCAGCCCCTCCTGGCCGTGGGCCGAGCCCAGCGCAGGGCAGCATGGCCCGGCTGTCGGCAGTGGCGCGGTGCCGCCAGGACCCTCGTCACGGAGGCGTTGGGGAGGCAGCGGCAGCACACAGCGGGCACCTGCGCTCCCAGGAGGCCCACGGCTGCAGGGCCCTGGCTGGCCACGAGCTGCGGCCAGAGCTCAGGACGATGGCCTCTGTGGGAGCCTCTTGGCCCTGCCTGCCAGCCCGCCCTCAGCCAAC